ATATCAAGAGGAGGAAAGTCTATTTTCAATTGCATAGCATATCAACTTGTGGAAAATGTAACAAGCACAAACAATATTACCCTGACTGTAAATGGTAAGTGAATTAAATTTGTCAAATGGCAATTAACTCAGCATCACCAAACACCACTTTTTAAACACACAAGTTAATTGCTTTTTTACCAAAGTCAAACTATTTTTTACTGATGTCATAACATTTTCCACTTGGACAGATGAAAAATTAAACTGGCATCAATTTGTTGAGCAGAGCTTATAAATAACAATCTATCAAGGTGCTGAAGATACTTTAGGGGCCCCAGTTCAGCCCGATGTTCCCCTCCCAAAGTTCATCGATAACAAATATGAGGTCTCTACTACATGTAGGTCAAATTGTAACCAAAAGAATTGAAAAGATAAATACCAACATTTCTTGCAACTTATTGAGCTATACACGAACACATCTTGCATGCTGAGCAGGGGGGCTACTGCGGCTTAGGAACGCCTTGAACATTTATGTGAGAAAATGAGCCATGTGAATGGTCAGCAGTCAGTGCTCTTGCAGTTACAAACAAGATGGCTTCAGCTTCATCTGCTAGACCAAAAATCTCTAAATAGTGTTCTTCTGTAAGGTATCACGTATGTGGACTTTCAAACCTATAGTTTTGTATTTGTACAATATATTGCTCAAAGGATTTGAAGAATTTGGTTAACATTTCGACTTCCTGTAAAAGACATTTGCTTGTTTTCTTTGACCATTAACATACTTTAACGGCATGAGCACCATTGGCCATCTGCACAATTAATGATGACATTTTAATCAAGCAAATCTGTATTCATACTTTCTGAAAACAAGTGAAACATTTTTTTTTTCTTGTGTGTAGAAAATATGAAGGCAACTGATTCATTATCTTTGCTACGACTGGAAAATACCTGGGATTTGAAAAGAAAGCTCTCCAGTAGAGTTATCTAAAAGCTATCNAACAAGCGCAAGAAATGTTACCCTGACTGTGAATGGTAAGTGAATTAAATTTGTTAAATGGCAATTAACTCAGCATCACCAAGCACCACCGTTTAAATACACAAGTTAATTGCTCTTTTACCAAAGTTAAATTATGTTTACTGATGTCATAACATTTTCCACTTAGATGCATGAAAAATTAAGCTGACATCAATTTGTTGAGCAGAGCTTATAAATAACAATGTGTCAAGGTGATGAAGATACTTTAGGGCCCCCAGTTCAGTCCGATGTTCCCCTCGTAAAGTTCATTGATAAAAATATGAGGTCTCTACTACATGTAGTTCAAATTGTAACCAAAAGAATTGAAAAGATAAATAACAACATTCCATGCAACGAATCAAACTATACACGAACACACCTTGCATGCTGAACAGAGGGGCTACTGCAGCCAAGGAATGCCTTAAACATTTATGTGGGAAAATGAGCCATGTGATCAGTCAGCAGTCAGTGCTCTTGCAGTTACGAACAAGATGGCTTCAGCTTCATCTGCTAGACCAAAAATTTCTAAATATTGTTCTTCTGTAAGGTATCACGTGTGTGGACTATAGTATTTATACAATATATTGCACAAAGGATTTGAAGAATTTCGCTTAGATATACTGTGTACTGTTCCCATACTTTTCAACTGATTTTTACTGCACCTATTGTATCTTGTTACATCAATGTAGTTCATGTGACTTTGTTGAAGTCAACATACAATAATTATTCTCATAAACTAATTGAAGGTACATCAAGTATCTATACATGTCCTTAATGCTGAACTGTTGCTCGTTTATATG